AATAAACATAGGGGTGCAGGTATCCTTTTGAATTAATGTTTTTTATACTTACTCTCTTACCGCCCACACTTGAGTCTATCCACCTCAACTTCCAGTTTGTCACTTTTCCAAGAAGGCTTTCTGACCTCAGCCAGCACCGCACCTTGTGCTCCTCTTTCAGAGCCAGTGGCCACGCCGTATCTGTGTCTACATGCTGTGCCTCGCTGTGTCCAGCACAAACCCAGGCCAGGTACCATGTCTGTTTTCTTTCCTGAGTACATGCAACCAGTGCACAGTACTTATGGCTCACTGAGTGCACAGATGAAAGCTCGAATTTTGGAAAAATCAAAGCTCAACTGTGCACTTGAGGACTAGCCCAGCTCCGGTGCACTCGGTTGCCTCTTGCGGAGGTCTAAGGTACAAAGTTTTCCTTGGCCCTGTTTTCTTCACTTCCTGTGGGGCTGGCAGCCTCCACGACAGCTCTGGTCTTACCCCCTGATGCAACCTGACTCCTCTACTGGCTTCAGGGATGGATTCTTAGCTCTACGATCCAAACAACAACAAAACAAAACAAAAAATAACCCTGGGACCTAAGTATATTCCTTGGTCTCAGCATCTTCAGATAAGTTGCAGTGTACCTCCTCACATCCACCTGCTTGTTCCTCATACAAACTCCCAGTTTCCACAACCATTTCCTTCTCAATTAAAAGCATTGTCTGAATTTTCTTAGAAAACCCATCGTTCTTGTTACCTCCTCCTTGACCTTGTGACAGGCACTCATCTTTAAGCTGAATGCACATGTTTTTATTAATATATTCTAAAAATGTCCTTGTGCCATGTCTCTGTTTCTCTAACGTGACCTCTTATCTGAACTCTATAACAACATGGCATCATAGCTCAAGACGGACTTGGGAGTAGACCCCCTATGCCCTGACACTGACCACCAGTCAGTGAGAAAGTTACTTAACCTCCCCGTGCTGCATTTCCTTTCTCTGCAAAGAGGAAATCAATCTATTAGCACCTACCCCATGGAGCTGTTGTGAGAAGGAAATGACTTTATGATCCAAGCTCTGTGAACGGTGTCTAACATACTGTTAAATGATGTTTGTTCTGTTTTTATTAATATTCATTTCCACTACACTTACATATTCCATGTACCACTTGCCATTCCACAGCAAATAGACTTCACTCCATTTGTTCATTTATTTATTCATTCATTCAACAAATATTTATGAATATCTACTATGTTTGAGACGTATTTTAAATTCTAGAGTGGAACATAAAGCTGTTTCTTTTTTTTTGGGGGGGGGGTTGGAGAGAATAGAGGGAAACATATAAACCACAAATAAATATATATATTTAATTAAAAATGCACTTATATATAATTTATTTAATTCAATTCCAAATTAAACAAGATGATGGACTAAGTGAGAGGAGTATGGGGGATCTTTAGATGGCGAGGCGGAATGATCAAGGATGACGATGTTTTGAGCCAGTAGAACACTGAAAAGGATTCAAATACTTGAAGGCTTTAGGGGAGAGTGTTCATGCAGAAGGAAGCAAGCTTACAGACACTAACATGGAAAGTAATGAGCAAGGGGCCACTGTGGCTGCAGCCCAGGGGAAGAGTAGAAATACGAGGAGATAAAATCAGAGAAAGCACAATATAATGTAAAGCCAGGGATGTTAAACTGTCTTGATGTAAGTTACACTGTAAGTCCCTTTAACTCCTTTTTTTTTTTTTTAGATTTATTTATTTATTTATGTAAGCACTTGGTACAGTCAGAAACGCAGGAGGGTGAGAGAATTCACCAGAGCCAGAGCGGGGAGCAGAACAGGCAGACTGACAAAGTACACTGCTGAGGGGAGCAGCGGGTGTGGCAGGAGAGGTCTGCGTGCCAAGTGGGACCCTTGGCGGCGGCCGGGATCGGACAGTTGCTGCAGAGGCTGTGAGCAGCCTCACAGCCCAGAGCTCAGCCACTGTGCCACCAGGGGAGGCCCGTCCCTTTAACTCTTAACAACATTCAAATACAGAGACTCACAGCATCCGTTCTGTCCCCATGTTCTCCTTCTCTCTGAGTCCCTTTGATTCAGAGATGCACGATGCTTACTTTCTGCTGTTTCTCTGTCTTTCCCTCCCTGTCACTTTATTTCTGTCTCTCTCTTTGTCTCTCTCTCACTCTTGATTAGCGGATTCTCAACGCTACTTCCCCAAAGACCCACCCCTAGGTATCTGTGTTGTACAGATCAGGTAAGAATCATCTGGGGAGCTTGTTAAGACCTGAGATTTCTGGCTGAAGGAGATAGTCTTCCTAGTTGCCCACGAGAGTAGCCATTCTAACAAATTGAAGCAAAAGTGAATTTCCAAAAGCATTTCCAATGCCTCACAGCATCTTCGTGCTCTCAGAAGCTGAGATTTCAGCTCAGAGGTCACAGACACAAAAACAGGATAGAAACACAGCATCGGTGCCTCACAGACAGGATGCAGTTGCTGCAAAGTACCTGGCATGGACACTGAGCACTGTTTCAGATGCCAGGACTCAGAATGAGGACTCAGAACCAGGATACAGAACCAGAACATGGAACCCAGACACAGAACCAGGACATGAAACTGGGACATGGAACCAGAACGTGCCTGCAGCCGGCAGCCAGCACGGTTTCTGAGGACTACTCATCTCCACCAATCTTCACATCTCACTGATATAACGACACTCCTATCATTTCTTCCATAAGAGGCAGGTATTTGGGACAGTTACTAAAAAGGGGCAGAAGCTGGGACACACATCAACCCCAGGCACTGAGCGCCCGTGACAGTGAGTGCTCAGGATTCTGCTTTGGGAAGACATGACTTGTGTTGTGGGGAAGGACTAGAACGTGGGAAAAAGGGACATGAGATTCTGTCAGACTCACAGGATGAGCTCCCACCCACGTGACTCTGTGGTTGCCCCCACAACTAACGGACACGGTTCTCTTACATATTAATTGCCAATACTACCACCCTACTCCTCACAGACAGCAAGCAACGGTCCAACATTAGATGGAAATATTTCCCTTGTCCTAAAATGAGACAAACCAAAGTCTCAGATCTCCCTCCTCAGATCAGAGAATTCAAGAGACGTCCCTTCCCCTTTACAAGTGCCGCCACCCCACTGACTAATCAACTAGTGGACTAAAGCAACACAGGAACCGAGTTGTATTGTGGCCTACTATCCACACATTCTGTGTAACTTGGGAGGGGGAAGGGAGGATGTGGTCTAAATATGTATCACCCCAACAAGAAGCTATGGATGACCCTACTCTTGTTTCTACTGTGGATCAAGAGACCTTGACTGTACTCATCACCCTGCTGTCTCTACGTTCCCTTTGTCTTATGTCAGCCCTTGAAATGCTCTGAGTGCTTTACCTGGGGGATGACCAAAATGTCATCCTTGAACTCTCTGGAGTCCTTGTGCCCCACCTGCAGTGGGTTATATTAGCCTTTCATTGACTTTCACCACTGCATGTAACAAACACAGAGGGCAGAACGGTGGCCTTCTGGGTCTCAAAAAACCCCTCTGCCCTCATCAATCCCACTGTAGGTCAACTGCCCCATTAATGAGTGAAAACCAGAATCAATAACCCTACTTTGTATAAAACTCATTTTTATTCCTGTCCATCCATTGTCCTAGAAGCTTGGAATTTCTGTGGAACCATTACTGAATCCCCTGGTGGAAGTATTTTTACAATGGTTCTAGGGCTTCAGAACCAGCAGAGCCCAGAGTTAGAATGATCTCCTCTCCGCCTTGCAGGAACATATTCCTACAAGGTGAACACAAAATTTTCTACCTCCTCTTATTTCCAAAAGTTAGCACAGCTAAAATAATAAGGGGCTAGAAGAGTGTCTGTTATATGTGTTTTTCTTCATTGTTAACATTTTATCTAAATAAAATACATTTGTTTATAAACAAAATTACATACACATGTACCCAGGATGATACAGGTCTATAGATACATACACAGATAGCTACAGACATTCCGTTGACTTTAAGACCCTTGAAGGAAGACAGAGCTTTTATGCTCATTCATAAACCTTGTATTCCATTTGGAATGGATTTCACTAATTAATTAATTTGATTCATGGTCACTGGAAAGAAAATACCACTTGGAAGACTATAACAATTGCTTTGATGATTTCATATGAACCAGGCCTTTCATTCACCGAATAATATTACTTTCTTTTCTAAAAGGTAAATTGATTTGTTCAAAAGGAGAGCCTGACATTGCCCCGTGAAGTTTCTTTGTTCTACTCTCTTAATTACAGTTACTGTCAAATACTTAATTTCCAGGATTATTCATCTTTCTGCTTTGGATGATCAGAAAACAAATTTATGTATATATATATATATATATATATATATATATATATATATATATATATATATATAATCTTCTGGTATTCTCCCAACTCCCTATAATTACATTAATTACTTTAAAACTCCAATATCAGGAACAACCAACTCATGTTCACACATTAGAAGTTATTCTTTACTGCCTCTTACAAAAGGAATTATTTTGTAAAAGACAAAAGCTCAAAATTATACTCCAATTATCTTTACTAAGTTTCTTCAATTTCAAAAAGGTTAATTTCAAGGAGTTCATTGTTTCAATCAGGTGGGTAGACCTCAAAATTGAAGTTTTTGTTAATATTTTGGTCCCATGCTATTGATTATTCCCCTTGGTGTCCCACCATCCCATCCATGCTTGGTTGAGAATTCTCTTCATTTCTTTGTTTGCATTAACTCAATCTCTGTTTCTTTTCCTCCTACTTCTTGTATAGAAGCTGCCTTCAGCACTAGGCAGTAACACTTTCATTGCATTGTTTCTTCCCTCTTTCTGCCGCTGACTTTTACCTGGCCCGTAGATAAAGGAGCAGCCCTTCATGAAGTCATATTAGATGTTTCTTGAGAGTATCATCCTTTATGGATCTGGTTATAGGAACTGGAGGTTGTTCAGTAACTCTACTCATCTTTATAGAACTGGCTTCATGGAACTCTTGAAGTCTTTATGGAGATTTGCAGATGAACTGCAGAGAAAATGTGTATCATGGGTGGCCCCACGAGGCAATATAATCTTCCTGGCTGTTCTATCTTACGGTGCACAAGAAGCAGGTTGACCTAGTTCACCACCGTCAGCACACAAACTGGCAACATCTCCAGGAACACGCTTCTAAACAAATGTGACTCCAGAGTTAGTCCATTGTACACCCTTAACTGGTTTCATAAAAGGTAAATTATGGGTTCCACATTGTTGTTCACATTCGTATTGATTTTATGTCTTAAAGCGAAACAAAATCATTTTGTAAGCTCTATAGAAGTTGGGCTTTTTTTTTTTTTTTTTTTGGATCTTTCTCTGTTTATTTCAAGTGAAAAGAAGTGACTGAATAAAACACTTTGGTATCATATGATCAAGATAGCGGCACATATTCTCTGTTACCCTAGGTCACCCAGATGAGTTGCCTCTTCAAGTTCTCTGTGAGGACTCCTGTCTCCATACCTGGAACCCATGCATAAGCATGTTCTGAGACAACAGTTCACAACATTGAAAACAACCTCCTGGGGCCAGGATATTGTCCAAAGAATCAGTGAGAAAGATGTCGGAAGGTGTTTTTAATGTAATCGCCTCGTTATTGGCCCATTATTTGAAGAAGTCTGAAGGTGACAATTAGCCAGGCCACATGAACCAACGACAAATGGAGGGTAGACATTACAGAGCCAAACCGTCAGGAAGAAGTGAGTACAATTTGTCTCACCTCTCTCATTCTCTTCCTTTGTGGGGGGCGCAAGTCTTGGCTTAACTCTGATGGGGTTCATCTTTGATAACTGAGTTGCATGATGTATAATATTCTTTTTATTGAACTAGCACCAGGGATGCTTATCTGAGATAATATGAAGTAATATCACTATTTTTCCTTTAGAAAAAAAAATATATACACACACTCCAGCAAATAACACACGGGAAAATTTAACTGTAACAAATAACTCATGGGAGAATCCCAGATCTATAGATTTAGTCCTCATAAAAACGCTTTCCATTCAAGTTGAATTCAATGTGAAAGCCATCTCCACGAAAACTGGTTATTATTAACCTTAACTCAATCCTATTTTGAGCTAAAGATAAGGGAGGAGATATGGAGTTTGAAAATTTCTTTTTTTCAAATTGTCTAAAAGGAATGAAAGCATTGAGCAAGGCTATCCCCTTTTAGATCAATGATCCCGGTCAGGCTAATTACCCGAAGCCTCTAAGTCTAAATTAAAAAGACCTCAGTAACTGGAAAGACCCTACAATTAACTGGCGGGGAAGATTAACCATGATAAGAGCAGCCGGGGTCCAGGTTTCCCTCTGTGGCCTATTTGTCAGTTGCAGAATACATGCTCTGTCCCCATGAGCCACCTCTCCGAGGCCTGGGAGGGTTTTGGATATTGATAGTATTGGTGGAAACGTGGGGGAAACACTGCAGGCCTCCACCAGCCTGTCCTTTCAGGGAGATGTGGGGTGTCAGCAGGTCCCGAGGTACCCAGCTGTCACTGGCCAGTCCAGGTAACACTGTCCCCCTTCTCTTCAACCCATTGACCAGACTTCCTGTGGAAGATGGACCTTCATTTGGCCCCCGGCCCCAGGGTTGTTCTCTACCTACGTACGACGGGCACTCACTATCTTTGCTAAAATAAAATCAGTGGTCACTGAAATAATTTTTCTTTACTCTGCACATTTTGTGTGTGCCTGCCCGGGACTGTCACTGTCACTGTCGCTGTGTCCCCAGTTCAGGAATGTTTCCTGTGCTCTCAACAGGAAGCAGGCCTCCACACAATTCCTTGTTGCATGTCACCTTTTTTTTTCACATTCTTTAAATCCAGGGCTTCCCATCTCCCAAGTCTATATTTACTTGTCACGTGTGCCAGAACGACAAATGCATCACACAAGCCAGAGCTTCATGAGCATGTCTTCTGAAGGTATGTGGCGTTTAATGAAAAATCTGTAAGTGTGTTTATAAATTGGATGACACTTCAGACCCAGGAAGTCGCTCACATACTTTGGCTCCAGAATCACTTTCCTGGGAATTCATCCCAAAAAAATAGCTCAGCAGATGTGAAAACAAACAAACAAACACAACATTTATAAAATATGCATTGTTAATTATTTGAGAGCTATTAAAAGCAATCCAAATGTCCAACTGAGTCCATGTCACATTATTAAGACAGTTAAATCGATTTCCAAAAATACAATGATTAAGACAATGTAGGAAACCAAATGTTTATAAGGCAGTGTAAATTAAAAAACATTATGTAAGATAATACGCTAGGCTTTATAATTGTAATTATATAGAACTGCACTGCAGAGCAGCAGTGGATGGTAATGTGCAAAAGTGGAAATAGCTTCTGTGCTAAATGAGGAAGCTGGTGTATTTGTTTTCAGAAATCTTTATTATTGTTGTCACCATATTTTTTATTTGTTTGGCTTTTAATTTCACTGTTATTTTAATTAATAAAATATGTTCATTTTCATGGATCAAATCTATTTGTGTATGCTTCAGTTCTGACTAAAGATGGCAAACATTGACGAAAATGAAGCAGAATTAAAAACTTATGAACAATTCACAAAGCTAGTAAGTCTAAGGGAAATGTGATAGTAAACTGTTCAATGATTCTTTTTGTCTGTAGCATTTATACTCCTTCGGGTGATTAAAGTTTAAATCTACACTCAGACCTTTGATTTGCCCTGTCAGAGGTATACACATATATTTTGTTTTTCTTGGACCATTCGCGAGTCATTGAAAACTGGTTTGCCTGTTGCTGAAATACTTGTTTCCCTTGGGATAAAGAATGTTCTTTTATACGGTCACAGGACAATGATCAAGATCAGAAAAACTGACAAAGCTTAATGTGATTATCTAATCTATAAGCCATATTTGAATTCCACCAAAGGTCCCCATCATGTTTTCATAACTGGTTTGTTGTTCCTCTTGGTCTGGAGGCCCCCAGCCTGGACCATGCCCTGCATTTAGCTGTCGAGCACCTTAGTCTCTACTCGTAAATCGCCTTTCACCTGGGTGTGTCTGGTCTTGTCTCACGACTAGACTCAAGCTGAGCCTTTAGTAGGAAAACCACAGACATGATGAAGTCAATTTCTACACCTCTTTTTTCATTGTTAAGAAGACAAATGAAATTTTTTCTGAAGTCTTTAATTCCATGTAACCACACCCATCAAATAAGAAGTCATGAGAGGTAAATCACAAATTTTCACTTGGAAAAGATTAGCTCCAGCAATCCAAAGTTTCCTTGCAAGTATTAATGTGAGCTGCTTCCTGAAGCCTGGTGAGGGAAGAGGGGTGCAAAGTCACATAAGATCAGCAGGTAGGGCAAGTTGTAGGGTGAGTGAATTGCTCAGGCTTTTACCCCACTGGCCTCTGTGGCTCTCACCTGCAGCCTTGAATGCAGGAGGTGCTTGGGTGAGTGCGCGGGCTCAGGGTACACATGCCTGATGGTGGAGACCAGGAGTATAGTGTGGGCATGTGTAAGTGAGCATGCCTGTGCCTGGAGGTCGGTGATATAAGGGTGGCGTCACTCAGAAACGGCTATGGAGAATGGCTATTGGGGAACCACAGAGAGGTAGGACGAGGAGACATCGCCAGAGAGAGCCCAAAGAGAGAAAGAGCTGGAGGCTAGAGGGCTTGGTTGCTCCTAGCCTCCTGGTCCCCTGGCCTCCCTGCCTTGCCACCTGCAGGCTTGCCCCACAACAATCAGCGCAGAAAGAGCTTAAAGTCTGAAAAAAATCCACCGAGAGCTAGGGACTCTCCTTTACCCATCAGCCCAAATCAATAGAGAACCTGCCCGGTGCCTGCAGGCACAACACAAGTCCTTTCCAGATAAGAAGCTTGATGGTAAACAAGCTTCCAGAAGCTTGTTTACAAACCCCAAAATAAGGTGAAAGGGTTAAATTGCTCTCCAATATGAGAGCAGGAAAGAAAGAAAACAACCAAAGTCTCCTGGAGGCTTGCTGTCCCAAACAGTGGGGCCAACGCCCCCGCCCACAGCATGCACAGGCACCACTAGCCTCGAGCTGAGCCCCAAGTCAGTTGATACAGAGGAGGGGGCTACCCAGAGGTGAAGGTCCTCCCAACAGGAATTTAAAGTTATCTGAAGGAAAAAGCCTCCTGGTCGCACTTCTCCATGTATGGACTGCCCAGGAATTAGCCAGTGAATTTCAGTCAAGTCCACACTTGTGTTTTGCCCTAACCTACTCCCCAGTTAATAAAACGTAGCCACTTTCTCAGCACTGCTCTCCAAGCCCGCTCCCCAAAGAGGAGACAATTTTGAGTTTTTCTTCTTTCAAGTTCAAGGTCATGGCATCATCCTCTAAGCACGATGGGTAAAGCAGCCCATGGCTCAGTAACAGCTCCATGTCCTTGACTCAGAACAAGGTGGGGAGCACAGACCCTTTAAGTAAGTTTTAGGTCAGAAAAATTCAAAAGCGAAAGGGATGCTTTCTTCTGCATCTCAAGGTCATTCAGACCTTCCATCATCTCATGACCTCACTCACCCTGGTCTCATCAGTGTTTCCAACTAAGCCAAGCAGGGACTGGGTTCAGAGCTGGGGATCAATGAGCAAAGTCTGGGTGCAGCCCTGCTATTACCAGAGATGGTTTCAGGGACAAAAGAGCACAGCGTGGTGCTCAAACTTGAAGAGAGGCTTCCAGCCCAGCAGTTACAAAATTCATCCAGAAGCTCCATGCTCTGGATGCCATAAAGAATATACAAAGAGGGGTCACCCTTGTGGTGCAGGGGTTAAAGTCTTAGTGCTACCAAGCTATCACCAGTTCGATCCCTGGCCAGGGAGCTGACCCACATGGCGCAGCAGACCTCTCCTGTCTCCCCGCTGCTCCCCTCAGCAGTGTATTTCAGTCCACCTGCCTGCTTTGCTCCCCATTCTGTCTCTGCTCCCCTCTCACCCCTCAGCACCTCTGGCCTGTACCCCAGTTCTTGTATGCATAATTAAATAAAATAAATCTTAAAACAAAACAAAATAAAACAAAAGCAATGAGAAATTCCCAGGATCTTGTGTTTTCCAGACTTTTGTGATTAGAATCATGCTGACAATAGCTGCTTTGCCTTCTGCAGATGCTAGTTCTGAACATGATGCTACTTGATGCGTTTGTTTAGGTCCCTTCACTTTGTTCCACAGCAAATCTTTCCAAGTCACACTTGATGAGACCTGGGCAGGGCAGGCCTTTAGAAAAGAAAACACATTCCATCCTCAAGAACCACTGTTGACTTTTCTGCTTCTGTTTATCCCACTTACAATGCAAGTTTGCTCAACAAAGGCAGTCCACAGCCATCCTTACAAACGCACACGTGAGACACACAGTCTGACTACATCTATCTTTTCAAACTATGATTCTGAAAAGGCTGTCCTAAGTGAGTAAACAGTCTTTCCCACTGTTCATGCCAATATGATGCGTGAAGAGCTCTTGCTGATATTTCCAGTTGAGCATCACTGAACCAGAATAGGCAAGTTGGGTCCACCCAAGATCAGGGCTCCCAACAGCTTAACGATGAAAATAAGAATGGGTGGGGGAAGCACACTTTGAAGCAAAATGACTCTGTTCCAGGGAAAGAAAAGGAATTGGACTGTCCTCCCTTGTAAACCCATACAAGCCTGTCCTGGATAGACATGCGTCAGTGGGGTGTTCTTAGCCAAGGGTTTGGGAGATGGGTAGGGAAGGCAAAGGACAATCTAGACAGGAGGAGAGTAGAAACATGAGAAAAAAGGAAAAAAAAAAAAAACTTAGGACGTTGTATATTCATTGTTGTGATATAATAGGCCACTTCAGAACTTAATGGCTTACACAATAACTTAGTCTCTCTCACCAGACCCTTCTCCAGGTCTGCATGGTTCTCAGGCTCACAGGTGTGCTGTGAGCAAAGGACATGGTGAGACCGATGTGGACCAGAGCTCTGACGGCAGTGGTGGGATTCAACAAAATATATGGGGACTAATAAAGAAAGGAAAGAAAAAGAAAAGGACTTAGTATCTAAAATTTGCAGAAAATGAGGAAGTGGGCCTTCTGTGAGGGGCTCCAGCTTTGATGATGGAGAAAAGTTCAGACAATCAATATCCATCATATAACATCCCAGAAAATGATCTAAAAGGCGGGAGATTTCTGGGCTTATGCACTGGGAATGTGGTTTTCTACTCAGGATAAACAAGGCATGTCCTGTATATAAACAACCTCACAATCCCAGGGACTTAGCACACAGATCCTGGTCCTCCCACAAGCACTGTGACTCCTGTGAGTCCCTGGATTTCCGTAGACCCTCCCGTCCCCTGGGTGGTGGCTCCACCATGTAGGACAGGTGTTGTCTTTAGGATGATTGACTTGTGCTGGTTTTCCCGAGACTTTCTCAGCCTTTACTCTGACAGTGCCACGTCTCAGGAAACCCCTCAGCCCTAGACAAACCAGGATCCTTGGGCTCCATACCATCTGGTACAAATAGGGCTTTGTCCCTGTGGCAGGAGAAGAGATGAAGACTCATGTTTGTTCTTTTTTGTTTCCCCCAAATCATACACACCATTTCCTCTTACTTGCCATTGGCCAGAGTGTATCACCTGCTCTTGTCTTAATGTAGGGTAGCTGGGGATATGGGAGCCCAGAGGGATTGTGTGCTGAACACCTGCTTTGATATCTTCTGGGGGGGGGTTACTTGAATGAGTGTATAAAAATCAAGTTCTTGAAAGTAATGTATGGAATTTGAACAAACGACAGCCACAGACTCATTGTTTTTGGACCAACTTCAGCCATGAGTTGGTCCATTTACAAGCCTACTGCAAGTTTCCGTGTACACTGGGTACAGTCAGAAGCGCGGGAGGGTGACAGAATTCACCAGAGCTAGAGCGGGGAACAGAAAAGGCAGACTTATGAAATACACTGCTGAGGGGAGTAGCAGGCACGGCAGGAGAGGTCTATACGCCATGTGGGACCCTCACCGGCGGCTGGGGATTGAACTGGTGCTGCAGAGGCTGCAGGCAGCTTCGCAGCCCAGTGCTCAACCACTGCGCCACCAGGGGAGGCGCACTCCAATTCCTTTTACATTGGTGTCATTCTCTTAGCTACTCCAACACCTCTCATTATACCACAAGTTATATCTTTCAGGCCTCATATTCTCTAGGAGACATGGTCCTGGCCCAGGTAAACCATGAGTGGAGTGAAGCATGTGTTTATCTGCTACCTCCTTGGCCATGATCCTTAGGAAGGGCAGAC